CTCGAGCGTCTCCGTCTACCGGGCGAGCAAACATTGGCCCCATCAGACCACTGCTAATTCTGGCGCCACGGGCCGGTGGGGGGCACCTGGGTGCGGGAGGCGCAATGCAGCATGCCTGCGTCGTCAGCTGGCTGACTCGGATGAAGACGCGGCCGTTTCGGGGATCTCTTAGACGGGAGCGGTGAATTTCCTCGAGCAAAAAGTCTTACGCAGAGAGAGAAAACAAATCCTCAACCTCCCTCCTCACCTTTATCACGACTATTGCTGATGTATCTCAAGATCGCGCCATGTTGTTCAAGGCTGTTCGTTTCTCCAAAACAGCATTGGTAGCGCAATACCTTTTGACAATCGTAGTGTTATCTTTCTTGTGGACGTCTTTCGGGTCCATCCACGGCCTTGGCGTCTCCACCACCCGGACACTGCTTACCACTGCGCCGGATACCGCACCTCGCCCACCTCCGGCCGTCCCGGAAAATCCCACCCAAGTCTCTGAAGCAGAGGCCGGCCTCATCGAACTCGCGGCTCAATTCTTCATCGACTACCCCTTGCAGAAGCCCTATACGAAAAGATTCGGAGAGCTCGGCGGCAGACTACAGGTCCTGCGAAAATGGGTACAGTTGAGCGAGGAAGCAGGTCCAGGCTCGCAAACGGACCGGGTGAAAGATGCGACTGAGGCGGTCATCGCGTCCGAGTTTCCCTTCCTCGTGAAGAACTCGGCCTCCACCACACCATTGGCCGAATTGAGGCAGAGGTTCACGGAACCACGAGGAATTGTCATTCCCACGGGCAACAAGACATTCCGGTTTGCCTGCCACTTGATTGTCGGTCTTCGCCGGGTCTTCAAGACGACACTTCCCATTCAGATTGTCTACGCCGGAGACAATGACCTCCCGAAGTCGAAACGAGATGCATTGGCATCACTGGCTGGCCCTCGTACCGATATGGAGGAGGCCGAGCTCGGGGATATCAGCTTCCTCGATGTGACAGAGGTCTTCGACGACAGCACTCTGAAGTTGACGTACGGAGGGTGGGCCATCAAAGTCTTTGCTGCACTAGCAAGCAAATTCACCGAGGTCATCCTCCTGGACGCCGATGCGGTATTCTTGCAGGATCCCATCTCGCTACTGAAGCAAAAGGCCTACCAGAATAACGGCGCTCTGTTCTTCCACGATAGGCTACTGTGGCAGTATGACTTCAAAGAAAGGCACCAATGGTGGCACTCCCAGGTCATCCGCGAGGGCCCCAATCTCAACAAAAGCCTCGTCTGGACCGAAACCTATGCAGAAGAACAGGACTCAGGAGTAGTCGTGGTGGACAAGTCTCGCTTGGACGTGGTGCTCGGGCTCCTCCATGTGGCCTGGCAAAACACAAGAGATGTGAGGGAAGAGACGACGTACAAGATGACATACGGCGACAAGGAGGCGTGGTGGTTCGGGTTCGAACTGGCGAATGCTACTTACGCATTCGAGAAACACTACGGCGGCATCGTGGGATGGGGAAGAGACGATGCGCGCCTCACACCCACGGTGAATACCACCACGCCGCTCGCACAGCCCGCCAAGGTCTGTAGTTTTGTCATCTCCCACGTCGACGAGTCAGACAAGCTCCTCTGGTACAACGGGGGCCTCCTCAAGAACAAAATCACCAACAAGAGGGAGTTCGAGGTGCCAACACACTGGATGATGGATGCCGAGTGGGAGAAAGGGGCGAACAAGCCTGATATGTCTTGCATGAAACATGGGATCGCGATGGAGCTTACGGGCGCTGAGAAGGAGATACTCAAGCGGTCTATAGAAGAGGCTCAAGACGTAGACAGCGAATTGAATTTGGTTTGAATTCCTTTTTTGGTAGCGTTCGAAGGATACATCATGAGATGTGCCCGACGTATCTCAACTACTTCACATCACTATCTGTCCAGGAACACGAGTGACGACCAATGCCCCGAAAGAAAGATTATCCTAACGACAAGCATATCACCTCGTGCTTGATAATAATCTCTTCGAAACACAAGACTAGCAATAGCTTCTCCAGCCTGTCATTACATTTTGGGTGGCGCCAGGGGACTAGATAAGGGGCTTTCGACTATTATGAAATTATTTCGTTAACCTTTCCAAGCAATGCGGTGAATACCTCGCACGCGTGGTCCTGCGGTAAGTAGGGTTAAATAACAGCGTCAGCCAAGACATGGGCATTACTACAGCCTACCATATGCTATATCGCTACATTAGCTATAGCAGCTGATAGCCAAGATTAGGACGATAGATAACCGAAGGGCCACAACGCCGCCCGAGCCGAGCAATCTGTTGGGTTGAGGGCTCTTGGTCTTAACCCTTTGAAATTCAGAAACGAAGAGTAACGCGAGATCATGGTCTACATCGCAATCCAACGCTTGTCGCCATTTCTTCTCCTCGGAACGATTGCCCTTTGCGTCATGGTAGAAATATTCCCCATCCAGCTCTCAACACCGCAGTTACCAGCTGCCTAATGGGGAATGGTGAGATTCGATGTGCCCGGATGTTCCCCTCACCAATTCCTTGTCTATGATCCCATTACAAGCCCGGCACTGCAGCGTGAGGAACCTAAGAACTGTCGATCCTGCCGGCCGGACCCATCCAGCCGGGCTGCCGGGAGGGCCGGGGTGCATACAATCTATCCATCACCTTCAAAGTTGTGCTGAATACCAGGTCTCTATAGCACCTGAGCACTAAGGTAGCGTTATCCGTGTGCCCCTGATTGTTGCCTCTTATCCCTGCTGCTGCTGCTTTGCACGTGGTGGTGAGATTGGGATATGCATGTAGTATATAAGACGCTGCCATTTCCACACCACGGCCATCTACACGGTCGTGGTGGCATCCATCTTGGCGAAGACAACCTGCCGTGCCCCCCCTTGGCCCCTGGACGCTGTAGACTCCAAAGAACGAACGTGCAGGTCTCAACCGGCAGTTGGATACTCTTGCGGTCTCTCACAATGGTGTCTTTCTACCTGATGGGCCTCTGTGCCATCCAATGGCTGCTGCTTGCCCCTCTGGCAGAGAGCCGCAACGTGGTTGTGCGCAAAGAAGGTGATGGCAGTCTGGATGTCGCAACGTTCCAATGCCAAGAGCTAACAAAATCTCCAGCTGCTACACGCAAATCAGGGTCCTACGCGATCCCCTCTCTCATCGATGCAACCGTTGATGAGCTTGCAGAAGGCCTCGACAGCGGCGCCTTCACCAGCGTCGACCTTGTCAACGCGTACATTGCCAGGATCTTGGAGGTCAACAGCACCCTCCACGCAGTCACCGAGATCAACCCCGACGCCGTCGCCATCGCGGAGCAGCTCGACAGCGAGCGCAAGGACGGCACGTCCAGGGGTCCGCTGCACGGGATTCCCATCCTGATCAAGAACAACATCGCCACGGCCGACCAGATGAACAACACGGCGGGCTCATGGTCCCTCGTCGGCGCAAAGGTACCCCGCGACTCACAGGTCGCCAGGAAGCTGCGCGAGGCCGGCGTGGTCATCCTCGGCAAGACGAACCTGAGCCAGTGGGCGAATTATCGATCCGACAACTCGACCAATGGCTGGAGCGCCTACGGCGGGCAGGTGTATGCTGCCTTTTATCCCAATCAGGATCCAAGTGGGAGTTCCAGTGGGAGCGGCGTGGCCTCTTCGATCGGTCTCGCGCTCGCGAGCCTCGGCACCGAGACGGACGGGTCGATCGTTTCGCCCTCGGACGTGAACAACCTTGTCGGGATCAAGCCAACGGTGGGACTGACCTCGCGCAACTTGGTCATCCCCATCTCAGAGCACCAGGACACGGTTGGGCCTATGGCACGAACCGTCAAGGACGCAGCTTACATACTCTCTGCCATTGCCGGCGAAGACCCATACGATAATTACACGTCCGCCATCCCGTTCAAGAACGGCACTCTCCCGGACTACGTCAAGGCGTGTAAAGAAGGGTCCCTCGCCGGCGCGCGCATAGGCGTTGCTCGGAACCTGATGGATGCATCCTACGGCGTCGACACGATAGCCAACGCCAGCTCCAGCGCCGACCTCGCAGCTTTCCAGGCCGCCCTAGACGTCCTCCGCGGCGCGGGCGCAACCGTCGTCGAGGGCGCCAACTTCACCGCCGTAGAGCAGTGGTTCAACGACTCGAGCTCAGAGACCATCGGCCTCGACGCGGACTTCATCGTAAACCTCGTGTCGTACCTCGACGAGCTCACAGAGAACCCGAACGACATCACCGACCTCGCGGCCGAGACGGACTTCACCCACGGCTTCCCCGCCGAGGACTGGCCGGACCGGGACACGGCGATCTGGGACGACGCCCTCGCCCGCGGCTTCAACAACACCAGCCCTCAGTTCTGGGAGGCCCACCTCAAGAACCTCGCGGTAGGCGGGCCTGGCGGCATCCTCGGGGCGCTCGAGAGGGATAACCTGGATGCGGTGGTCTCGTTGACATCCGTCTCGTCATCGTTCCCGGCTCTGGTGGGCAGTCCCATCATCTCCGTTCCCCTTGGGTTCTTCCCGAATGGGACGCGCGTGGTGCCGTCCCGGAGGGAACTGACCGCCACTGCGCCCGGCATACCGTAGGTGTCCCCATCGTTTCTTGTCTCAACCGTGGTGATCAAGCGCTGACAAACGGCTATTCACAGCTTCGGAATTGCCTTCATGGGTGCGAGGTTTAGCGAGGAGAAACTCATTGGGCTCGCCTATGATTTCGAGCAGAGGACGCTTGCGCAGCAAAAAGGAGCGCCTTATCTTGTCCCTACGACTGAGCTTGCTGATGTTATCTCCGCCTAAATCATTGTCGGCACCGATCTCGAGGTCATGCATATATATGTACTTGCAGTAGGAATTAATGATGCTGTCCATCAGGAAATGATTCGCAGTCTAGCAGTGCCTACGACGGAAGACAGAAATCTCAGGCTGGAGGCTGCATATTCCACATGCGTGGCAAAAGGAGACATGGATCAAAAAGAAATTATTACAATATAGGAAATAGGAAAAAAGATGTCTGCCCCATGAATCGAACATGGGTTTCTTCGGACCGTATGAGTTCCTCGGGAGAAGACCACAACGAAGTGTACTGACCACTATACTAGGCAGACTTTGCTTGTTGAAACCCGGCTCGGGTGGGGGCTTACATGGCTTTGCCAAGAACCGAGGGCGGGGCGCTTTGCGGATCTACTTTCGGTCTACTCGGAGTCTTGGCGGCTGGCACCAGAACGGAACTTTGGCAACTGGTCCTGAAACTTGGAAGCCGATTGGTTAAATTCCCATAGTATGGCCGAAGCCGTAGATGTAGAGTACCCCCATAGCTGACCTGCACGGCTGGCCCTTGACGTCTGACTCTGAAAGTCCTGAAAGGCCCTTGCGACTGGCTTCTAAATCGCGTCCCTTGGCTGGCTATTATGGGGGGCACTGCACTGCATATGATGGGCTCGTCAGGCTGGCTTCACGTGGTGAGTCACTTGGGCTGGGCACCTCGAGAGGAAAAGAAAGAAAGTCGGGAGTCGCGCCGTAGTTTACTGCATTGCTAGAAAGAATGTACCGCCTTGCCAGCAAAGCCCGAGAAACCATTCCAGTCAATCTTGCATCACTTTCAAACGGCCAGCTACCTGCTGGAGACAAACGCCACCGGCTTTTTTTTTTTTTGGCATGAACGTTGATGTGCTCGCGGACAATCCTCCCGTTTGGATCTACTTTGCAATCGCACTGCCTACTGCTGGAATTGTATTCTTGGTGCATTATCTTTTTCCCAAGGGGTTCAGGTTGGCATAGTTTAGATCTCGCATACACATAAAAAGAACAAGACCATTCAAGTTCTGCTTCAACTACTTGGTCTCCATGAAATGGCACAGATTGAAGTGAAGCCATGTCTGGATTATCGCATGATCTCATTCAGCTATTCTACATCCTCCTACAAGACATTGCGAACATTATCGCCGATCGCGAAAGCTTCACGACCTGTCTTTACCTCTGTCGGCCAATTGGCACTTTTCAACACAGCCTCGGCCAGATTGAGAAGCATGACATCGCTACCTTTCGCACCCATGAAACTGCTCACGATTGGCAGGTACTCCTTCAGGCCGCTGGTGCGTGAGTCGTACGGTTTTTGACCGACTGCAAACCAAATTTCAGCTGATTTGTACGCCTTGAATCAGGGTTGCTGTCACTTACTAGGTACTATGAGCGTTGGCAATTGAAGCACTGCTGGCAAGTAGAACACTGAGAATGATCCGACAACGCTCGGGAGCCTTTTCGTGGTTAGGACAATGACCAAGTGGGAACCATGAGCACATACTTGTTTGCGTCGTCACGGTACTTCGGAGTCGCAGCACCAAACGGCATGATCATCACGGCGTCGGTCACGGTGTCCTTGTCTGGGCCCATGACGTTTTTCTCGAACCAAGTCCGAAAGGCCTTCATCTCGGCTACTCCCCGAGCTCGCTCTTCTTTGGTGAACGGGACGGCGATGCTCCTAGAAAAAAGATCATTTCAGTAAGAACTGCACCCTCGCGATTGGATTGGCCGCTCACCATCGTTTGCGCATGTATGGTCCCACATAAGCCGGCTTCCCAAATTTCTCCAGGTATTCGCTTCGAAATTCGTCAAAGGTATGGTATGTATCGTAGTACATAGGCCATACTGCGCTCTGTTCAAGTTAGCATGGGCCGTTGAAGATTCAGAGTATCCCAAGTACCATTTCGAGATACTCCAGGAGCGTCTTCCCTCCGGCTTCCTCAGGAGGATTGGATGCCCACATGTCAGTAATACTGATGGGCGTTCGCTCGACACCGAGAAACTTCTCCACTATGTCGATGAATGCCTCGGTCATGGCCTGTTGATCATCGTCCGCCTGTGGAAAGAAGTCCAGAGGATAGAGCAGGCGTTTAGGGAACTTGAAATGTTAGAGACGAACATCTGCGGGCAGGCGACTCCCTTACCTGAGACGAATCAGGGACATCCAAGGTTGCGGAGACGAGGTGCTTGGCATCCTTCAGGCTTCTGTGCAGCGTTCCAACTGTGTCGAACTCACTTCCCAAATAGTCAGATCCAGCGTGATCCAGTGAATGGAATAGGCATACGTACTTGCAGCTCGGGACGATGCCTTGTCGTGATGCAATACCATACGTAGTCCTGAGGCCGAACAGGCCGTTGAAAGCCGCAGGAAGACGTACACTGCCGGATGCTTTGCAAGGGTAAGCAGAATGGCTTCAATCAGACATTGGAAAACTCACTGTCAGTCCCGATCGAATGATCGAGCCAGGAATATCCTGCAAGCGAAGCACCAGCGCCAGTAGAACTACATGAAGGAGTCTGATACATATCACCCCTTGGGTTGAAGGGGCAGTGGTAGTCGACCCATTGATCAGTTGGCTCTTCTGCAGACGCAAAAGCAGACATCTTGGTCTTCCCCACAATGATAGCACCCAGTTGCGTGAGCTTTGTGGCGTAGTCTGCAGAAGACGCACGCGGTGGATATAGCTCATTGTAGGCTCTGTTCATCATCGTGGTCCGGATTCCCTTCAAGTCAAAGTTGTCCTTGATGCTGACGCGAGCACCAGCCAGTGGCCTTTCCTTACTCGGATTCGAGTAAAGACGACTTGGTACGGCGACGCACTTGAAAGTACCCTGCTGCGAAACAGCCTGCAGCACGGAGAAACTGAACGGAGTGGCGTGTTAGAGCAGGGCGAAATGACCAGAAGCACGAAGCGGCCTACCTGGTTGGATTGGCAACATCGTCGGCGATGGTAGGGATGACAAAAGCGTCGAGGTGGTCGTCATAAAGCTTCCAAGCCTGATGGATTGACTTGCCATGGATGAAGTAAGGCCCCTGCGGGAGAGACTCATGCGTGACGGCTGGATCGTTCGTGTAGATTGCTTGGAAACAGCGGCTTTCACCGAGTCGCGTGGCGATGGCGGTGGTATCAATGCTTTGTCTGGATTGCAAGATAACCACCGAGATGAAATCGTCGCAGAAAACATCATCCCGGCGCACAAAATCGTCAAAGGCCCTTTGAGCATGTTCTGAGGCATAACCAGCATCCTGCACAGAGAGCAGCACGGCGGGCCTCCAGAGCTCGCTGCTCGCAGTGGTTTCGACAAGGCGACCCTGAGATTGTCAGCAATCCACGCGACCTCACAACTTCGGTTTCGCGGATCAATCCTACCACTTCTTGGGGATGCACGAAGTATGAGCCCCTCGCGAGCACGCGCACGGTAGAGGAAGCCATTGTGGTTGTCTCGTGAAAACCAGACTGGGCCAGGCACGCATCTAGGCCTGGCTGCGATGACAAGGTAGATATTGAAAGAAACCAGGGCGTGTCCACAGCCTGACGGTACTTTGTGTGGGTCAGCCCTCGGGTGCCCCCACGTTGGTTTACGCCCGGCTAGACTGACATGTTTCTTTGGCATAAGGCCACCTCCCACCCGACTGGCCTGCGTGGCTTATCGCCTGGCGTGGCACATGCCGTTCATCAGGCTGACCGGCGAAGTTCTTATTGACTGGACACCTGCAAACCCACGGCAGCCACCTTTTTCCACGCAGGCAGACTGACATGTGTTCGCATGCCAGCATGCGTAACTTGTCAGCCCGAAGCGGCCGCGAGAGGTAGACAGTCGCCTTCGTTTCACAGAAAGTCCGCACGGGAAACGGAAGATAGAGCACCTTAAAATGCTCCATAATCTGTTTCATAGCATCCCACTCCGTCGGCGTGCTCAACTTCTCCAGAAGATCGTGTCGGCGAGCTTTGGTCAGACCGAGCTCCACAGTGGCAGACCAGAGAAGACATTGCTCAAGGTCGGGCTTTTGTTCATCATGGATACACGCGAGGAACAGTATTGCGGCAATGCTGTCAAATATATCACGGAAATCGGCGCGGCGTTTCGCAATGATTATGGCCTGGGAAATTACCTCGTGTTGCGAAATTGGCAAGGCGAGCACGACTGACTTACATTCTTGAGCACAAGTCCTCCGAAGCTATGACAGACAAATATTATCGGGCGTTTCAGTTGCTGGGGCTCTTCCCGCCGGAAGCGCAGGTTGAACAGCAGATCTTCGGCTTGTTCAATCATGGACACCAACGGCCGCTGCTGGTCAGAGGCCTTGGAAAGGTCGTACTTGAATGCCATCATTCTCACAGCCGGAAATTGATGGCTCAGGGGATCTCGAAGCCATCCTGCGTGGCCCAATGCTCTCTTCACCCAACTGATGGAGAATGAAGCCAGACGAAGTCTCCAAACAACTACGCCCCTAGCAGACCCTGCATCTCGCGTACTCTCCCCCTCTTGAATCGAACAAAAGACTCAACAACGGCCACGCCAAACATGTCTGGTGAGTCTATGCCAGACATAACTCCTGAAACGCGCGAAAATCCGCGAGTCCTTCGTTATAAGAGAACATGTCGGGCCCAGAGGGCCTACTGTAGTAGTGATTCTGTAATGATCTTCAGCGAAAGAGGACGACGACGAGTTTATTCAATATTGTGTGTTAAATGGTTCCATAATCAGTCGTGCAGGGAACAACTTTATGAGAGATGAATTGGACGGGGTGGCAAAATCCTCCCGGCTTCTGGAATCTACCAATGCTATGCTATATAATCCCAAGCAGCCTTGTCAGGGCACAGCTTTGTCTGATTATTTAGAGACTACCCAGTTGAGGGACATAGAAGGGGGGGGGGTGCCACTCGCTGTACCTGCTCAAAATTGCCTTGCTTAGTTGAGACGGGCGATCTGATGCCCACTCTTTCTTTTTTTTTCTCCCTCCGTTCGTTGCTGTACTCCCCTCCGAGTCGATCCGCGGGGTTCTTTGTCAAGTTCGTTCAGCGACTGCAGCTCAATGGCTTCCGAAACATCCACGGAACTGCATGCATGTGCGTAAATGTCGGCATGGCATTTTCCTGATCATATAGTGCTCTGCTTCTCAAGAGTACAAGCATGCGCTTTGAATTTTTTCATGTATTTAGAAAGTACTCTATGCTTCGTCTTGTAAATACTCGCGGCCGGACGTTGTGCCGGAGACATGCCGCTGCCGAGCAGCACAAGTGTCAGAAGCAAACAAGAAGTTGGTATGGTATCATTAGCATCGCTTTTCAGTTCTCATCCG